TGTGTGCATGTGTGTGTGTGTGTGTGTGTGTGCATGTGTGTGTGTGCGTGTGCGTGTGTGTGTGCGTGTGCTTGTGTATTTCTAAACACCTACAATGACATAAAGTAAAATTATTCATATATACTCCAAAAGCAATATCTTCTACAGAACATAGTACGCGATGTGAATGGTTATGTGAATCGATAGTATCGTCGGTCGATCATCAAAGAGCTAATAGAGAGAAGAGCGCACACTCACTATAGGGTTTGAAGCCTACAGGTCCAGCCCTGTTGAGATTTAATTTCATATACACGGGCGCTATATGGTACTTACCCTTCCCATCGCCATATGTTTGCTATAAAGTTATACCATATGTACGGACAAAAATACAGATATACACCCAATAAACAGAACTCTCGTTAAAGACAGCCGCATACCTAGCTACGCACGATGGTTTAAATAGCAATGCTTATCAATAGACAATATTCTAAAACAAAAATACACCTATGTCAAGTGGTACAACCTCTCTCCATACGCTTTTAAAGTACAAGCTCGTATCCACATGGGATGTCAAAGTACAAGTTCATATCTACATGAAACAACTTAAAATAAAAACATCCGATTGTCGTGTACACTCCCATATCTGCATACGATGTTTCTGCGGCCTCGTACAGCATTGCGTCCGACACCAAAAGTGTTCCACCCCAATCTGTTGGTCACATTGTGTGCGCCGACCCCCCTCAACGCCCGCAAGGTACTCAGGCTAATATTCATATCTCTTGGTTATATGATATAAATGGTGTAGTGTAGTACAATGGTAGGAGGTACGCTTGTTAATCGTGTATACGTATGTATGCGCACACCTTTCGTGTTAGCTAGTCACTCTCGTGTGTATAAGAATCGGGTGTGGCTTGTTTATGTGGATTTTAAAATATGGAAGTTCAGAGTATACGTTGAGTTTAAAACGTGAAAAGTTTTGATATGCAAATTGTTTCAAGAATTAAGAGGGCAAAAAAAGGTTGCACTTATAAGGGATAACAATCAGACTATTGATGATAATTGATCATATATATTGCACCTGATAACCTTAATATTTCACCTATATTAACTATGTAGAACCAACTATAAGTGTATGTTTTTTATAACAAATTAACGCACTGTATATACGTTGATGATGTCAAATGTGGCCTGTGGCCCTGTGTTCAGTAAATCTGAAGCCTATAAATAGAAACTAAAAAAAGCCGTGACACACTTGGAGACCCATATTTAGGCCGACAGCTTGTCACAAAGAACTGGAACATGCCATAGGCCCATGGCCTGTTGTTTAGTACATAGTCATAGCCTTCTGAAATTTAACCGTTTCAGAAGGCTACTGTAGTAGGCTATGAATATGCGTCACGCATATGATATAAAAAAATTTAAAAAGTCGGAAACATAAATACGCCTCATAGGCCCGTATTAAGGCCTTCAGTTTGTTAACAAATTAAAGCTATTTCATTGGTCACCAAGAACCCGTTGTGTAGTTCGATGACATTTTCAAAAAAAAAAAAGAAGTTGTTCAGACGTCGGCGACTGGCGAGAGTGCCGAGTGATGATGATGATGATGATGATGATGGTTAACTTATCAGTGAACGTACCAACTACCACCTATTTACCAAAAGAGCATATTCAGTATTGTAGCAACAACACATGTACATGTACGTATGATAAATAGAATGAATCTACGTCAAATGCACATTCTAGAATAGTGCATGCGCAGAATAGACAAGTACTAGTTGCCACCAACTATATGAGAGACTGTTCCATACCACGCACACGTTGTTGGTTCAATAACGACGGTATGCCGAGTAGGTAAACAGATCATAGCGACTACTTTTCACAACCTACATAACACCGACCCAAACAAACTTGCATATTCTTGCGGGTGAACCGAGGTAGACCAAAAAGATACGCTAACATACTATATTACATGCGCTGTAATAGATACATACACATAACATACACATATATACTTATAGTAAGGTTAGCGATTTCTCGTCAGCAACAGTGAGTGAACCCCCATAGCACATAGCCATGTGCGAAGCCGAAGAGATGTCGGATTTAGCACCCGCGCGTATTATCTATTCACCAAATAAGGGCACATACAAACACGTACGTGCTCTGGCAATCCCCCCGGCCAGTGCTGTAATTTCGCACGACGATCATGAGAGTGATTGGTCCGGTCAAAAAGATGAGAACAAACAGGAAGAAGACTTGCATACGCGAACGTATGATACTGAGCCTATCGAACAACCATATAAACCATATACATACAATAACAACGATGAAACAATAGAGTTAACACACGAACACACATACGATCGGACTGATACAGATAGTGTCAGGGCCACAGCCAGTAATGACGAGGTCGATGGTAGCGATGGCGTTGGTGGAATGGCGGGTAGCACTTCTTGCAGAAATAGACCTTTACCACCCTTACCAATACCAGCCAACAAACATATCGTCGTGCATGCCGAGATGTTCGGAACTGTGCCTCTGCCGAGTGACGAGGAGTACGACAACTCACAGTTACAGGCCGATGGCAGTAGTGCCAGTGAGAGTGGACTAGACCTGCATGAGCTTCCCGGTGCACCGGTCGATGTGTTTGTAAGTCTCTCAGAAGCAGAGTCTACGGATACAAACACTGCAGTGTGGAATGCAACAGGACATCGTGTGGACTCCGATCTGTCTGTAGACGATCTAGATATTCTCGAGTTCTCAGACGATCTGGATCTCCCGGAAATACCAGAGATCTTATCTGATGGCCATGATGTGGAGGACTGCTGTGATGTTAATGATTTGATGGGTATGTGGATGGGTTGATTAAAGCTCTAATATTGTATTTGCTGAGTATGATGTCGAGTTATATTTGGCATAGGCATTCTGTCTACATCTGAATATTTCGATATATATATATATGTGTGTGTGTGTGTGTGTGTGTGTGTGTGTGTGTGTGTGTGTGTGTGTGTGTGTGTGTGTGTAGTG